CATTTCTTCACACCAAAACCCATTCTTCCCTCTCTCTAGAATTATCTCTCTAAACCCTCCCCTCCCAAAAGCCTAAGAAATAGTGGTCTGTTGGTTGAGGCTAAGTCCGATCTGCCATCAGAAAACATTTCTTTGGTTTTTTCCTCAAAACCCGCCGAGCCGAATCTCTGTCCAAATTTCCCGAAAAAATGAGCGAGTGGTGGCAAGGAGAGGGAGTTTATGTTGATGAATTTCTAGCGGTACGTACTCATTATTCTGGTTTAATTTTTTGTTATAAGCTTTTTAATTAATCTATGTACTAACCTCGTTGTTATTTTCTCGTAGGTTGGGGACTACGTGGATATATACAACCAACGGTATTATCTCGAGCAAGGACCGTTGGATCCAACCGACTTGTACGGCCAACCCAACCATCGGTCAAGAGATGCTTGGAACGATCACCCGGTACATACAATTCTTCATCATTTGTCTTTCTTTTATTTTGCTAATGTATTTAGTGGAATATAAAATAAATTTTTGTTGAATTTTTAATCGTGTTGGTTGTTTTCAATAATTTAATCGAATACATAACGCCACTTACTTCGACTCTTTATAAAGAGATGCACGTCTAAGGAAATGGGGTTTTAAGCGATTATCATATCCTCCCATTCCCTGGGAAAATTGGGTATTAAGAGATCCTCGGATCCCCCCTTTTTCTGTCAAAAAGACTGCGTTTCTAAGAAGATGTATACCTCTTCTAAGAGTCTAACGAGTGTTGCTCTGTATTCTATTAAATTATTTAAAACAATCAATACGATTAAATTATTTACCAAATAACCAATAAGATTTATTTTTATGTGTACAAAATGAATTTTATTAATTTCAAATATTTGAATATGTATGTTTCTCTTTAAATTATTATTCATTTACAATGTTATTTATGTTAATTAATTTAGTATGTTTATTTTACGATAATATGTATGTATCTATTTAAATTATTATTCATTTAGAATGTTATTATGTTAATTAATTTAGGATGTTTGTTTTATGATAATATGTATGTATCTCTTTAAATTATTATTGATTTAGACTGTTATTATATGAAATGTATTTTTATGATAATAAAATTCTGCTCGAAGTTAAATAATTTAATTAATTTAGTTATAAGAAAAAACCCTTACTAATATATAATAATTAACGTGTAAATTTTCGCTAGGAGGCACAAACAATACTTCGCTACAGGGGCACGACCAATGTGCTCCGATTCCACCCAACTATCTTGCCCTTTCTCAAAAGGGCACGGTTGGACCCGATTAGGCATTTTAACGACATCAAAGTCGATCGCCAACTCATCACCGTATTAGCTGAGAGATGGAGAAAGGAGACCCATTGTTTCAACTTTAGAGAAGGAGAGGCCACCATCACGCTAAAGGATGTCGCCATCCTAACCCATCTGCCCATCGACGGCAAACCGGTGTGCGCGAGTGATCTTCCCCCCGAGGATCTTGACGGTATGCCCGGTTAGGTTCATTTCATCCACAGTGTTTTGGGGGTGAAAGTACCAATCAATGGGAGCGTTGATGTGGTCCATAAAATAGGGTGTTATTTTTGTAAATATTTTCGGTTGGGTGCTATTTTTGTAAATGTTTTTTAAAAGGTGCTATTTCTGGAAAAATCTCGGTTAAAAAGGGGGATGAAGGATTTTTGGCGTGGGTTTGGGAGGGTTTTTCCTCACTACCGGACAAAAAGAGGGGGAAGGAGGAGGGGGAGTGGGAGTGGGCTGGCGAGACCCGCGTGCCAGAGTTGTTTTTTACTTTTAGCTTTTCTTTTTTTGTTTTAGTTTGAGTTTTTTAGACCGTAGATCGTTTTCAATGCGATCTAACGATAATAATTGAATTCCAACGGACATATTTTACAATGTTTATATTTTTCAACAGCCATAAACTATCATATTTAATTAATGACAAAAAAATATGTTCAAATTAAAAAAAAATTATATCACAATGTTCATCTTAATTAATTATTACTACCTATATAAAAAGAACAATCAAATTATTTAACTAAAGTGACAAAATCAACACAAAATCAGATTTATCAAAAAACACATCTCCCACTTTTTCCTCTTTTTCCTTCCAACCCATTGTTGGGTTTCCCACCCTCAAACCCAAATTTCCCACCCAACCATAGTGGATGGTTTAAAAGTGAGAAATATGGGGAAATTGAATGAAAGAAAGCTCTATTACTTACTTACGATTGTGAGGGAAGTTTCAAATCTGGATCTACGTTGGAGAAGATCCCCTAGATATGTGTTAGAAACAAAGTTCCTAACGAAATTGATATTTGGGGATTAGGGTTTATATGAACAGAATTAGGGATTGAGATTAGAATTTGGGGAAGAAAGAAAGAAAGAAAGAAAAGAATCGGTCGAGGCCTTAAAGGGATAGAGATCGAGAATTGAGATGATAGGGAGAGATTAGGGATTAGGAGATTTTCTTAATATTCTTCTTAACTGGTTACTAATGAATCACAAAGTGCATATTTATAGAGAATATTGGGAAACCCTACTAATAAACCTAATTCTACTAAAAGACTACTAACCATAATAAGAATTATCCTAGTTATAATTAGGGTTAATAGCATTTTCTGCCCCTGTACTATTGCGAGATAACAAACGTGCCTTTGTACTATGATTTTGCACAAACGTGCCCTGTACTATTATGACGTAACAAAAATGCCCTTTTGTTGAAATTTCCGTTTTCTCACCGTTAATTGGGTTTGGAAATGACCAGAACACCCTGTGTTTCATCGTGCCTTTCTACTACCAAAGTCTTCCTTTTCCCACTGTCAAACACCTTCGACTCTTCTTCTCTCACTGACAGCACAGTCGGAGCCTCCTTCCAGCGAATGTCGAGGAAGGAATCCTTCTCCCTCCGGCGGACGTTCTTCTCGGAACAAGTAATCCCTCCGCCAGACCACCTTCTCCCTTCGCCGTCAGACCACCATCTCCCTCCGCAGGGACCGAGTAAGCCAACCCTGCTTCTTCCTCGTCCTGCTGCTTCTTCGCACTCGGCCTTCTTTATTCCACAAAAGAGAAATCAAATAGGTCCTTCTTTCTCCCCCATTCTAGCTCTGTTATGTTTATTCTAAAATTTCGGGAACCCTAAATTTAATTTTGTTCAGGTTGTTATGAATTAATGGACTGGCCTTTTTAGCATGTATTCCAGAAGCAGTCCTCAATTGGGTGTTTTGGGCTTCTCATTTTGAAGTTGGATTCCGCCTAATTAAATGAATTGTAGGTCATGGCATCTTCTTCCCAATAATCATCATTCAGAAGCACTGGATTTCGCCCAGGAGAAGATGATGCCAGTCGAAGAAATGGTGGACGCCTGAGAAGATTACGACTACCGGAGAAGTAGTGGCTGCCGCCAATGGCGCTCGAGGAGTAGATAGCGTCGGGCGAGATGGTCGACGGCGGGCGAGGAGAAGATGGCATCGGGCGAGATGGTGGACGGCGGGCTAGGAAAAGATGGCGGCGGGCGACTGCTAAACGGTGAGAAGGGGAAAACGGAACGGGACTCGCAGGGTTACGGGCTCCTTTTTCCTATCCTTAATCGACTGCATAATACACCCCGTAATAACCCCTTAAAAATTAAAGTCGAATTTCAGAATTAAACAGGGTCTTTTTGTCATTTCCAAACTCAGTTAATGGTGAGAAGACATAAATTTCGACAGAAGGGCATTTTCGTTACGTTGTAATAGTACAGGGGCATGTTTGTACAAAATTATAGTACAGGGGCACATTTGTTACATTGCAATAGTACGGGGCATAAAATTCTATTAACTCTTATATTATTATAATAAATAGAGAAACACTAAAGAAATCGGTTTCTAACATTACAAGGCTGATTTGGGTTTCTGTCTCACGCATGCCGCGAAGGCTACCAGCACAAGCGAAAATCGCTCTGTTAGATACCGCATTGACCCGCCTCATGAGAGAGAAGCTAAACGTGAGATACTTGAAACAAAGCCATGAAGAATAGATCGAGACGACTTGCCTTCAGGATTCTCAGAAGCAAACAGTTTCCTCAATAACGCTGACTTGTGTTACGGTGGTTTCATCTCAAAGGTCTCACCTAGATCGAGCATAAAGGGGGAAATGGAGCGTAGTAGAGAGAAAGTCTATATCGAGTTTGATTGGCAGTGGCAAGTGAACCACTAACAGAAAATTGTTGTCACCAGAGAGAACGACAAATTAACGAAGAGAGAAGAGGCTAAAAGTGAGAAACAGGGGAAAATTGAATGAAAGAAAGCTCTATTACTTACTTACGATTGTGAGGGAGTTCAAATCTAGATCTACGTTGGAGAAGATCCCCTAGATATTGCTTTAGAGGTCATTGTTGTTGCCTCTGATCCGGTGAACACACTGAAGAAGATGACGCTAAAGATCTGAATGTGATTGATGGGGTTGGATGGATTTTGGCGATGGGCATCGCTGACTAAGTACCAAATGTTCCTCTCTTTTCGATAAACGGATTCACGAAATAATCGTAGTTCCCAGCGGGCGCTCAACTGCTCTTAGATCACTGTTCGAAGCGGCGTAGCAGAGAGTAGTGTCGTGTGATCAATGCCGGAGAGGGGTAATGAGAGGGTACGCAAGCAACCAAAATCGCCCCAATAAGAAGTCCAGACGTAACCAAACCACCACGTTCCCCCTTCAAACCAACCAGCTCTTCCATGCACGGCTGTACCCGCCCACACCTGAGTCTTATCCGATTTGTAACAGTAAAATGTATCTGCATGTGTAGTAAAACCCTCCCAAAAATGATTCGTGTTATTCTAATTTTCTCCTCCATTGTCTCTTTCAGCCCACGAAGGGATGGCGCTTGGGCCTGGATGGCCCACTAGATCTGCTCGGGAACCCGGTATGATTCAACCAGTACTTGAATCGAACCGTTCGAGTTAACGAATCCGGACCACCAGAAAACCGATCCCTGCCTGTCCGCTCCAAGGCCACCATCATCTTCCCCCCAGAAATTCCCTCCACGATTTCCGTGCGCTTCTCTCTTTCCCCTTCCCCTTCTTTTCCGGTTTTCTCTTTCACTTGAAAAACAATCCAACATCCGCCATCACCCACCGCCGCTGCCATAACTAGCGCCACCGCCTCCTTCCCTTTCCCTCAATCCTACGCTTCTATTTTCCCCTACCGGAGCGGAAGCTAGAAGCACGGAAATTCTATATAAATAATTCGTCCTGCGAAAGAGCTGCCGATTACCGTAGCCGTTCTTAAAAATGGACTCGCAAAGCAATGGCAATGCTCTCAACGGTTCCTCCGGCAATGGATCCGCCCTCATTTTTCTCGGTACCGGATGTTCCAGCGCCATCCCCAACATAATGTGCCTGATCCAGCCGTCCGATCCTCCCTGCCGTGTTTGTTCTCAGGCGCTCTCTCTTCCGCCGGAGCAAAACCCTAACTACAGGTACGGTTTTCCTTTCCTTCGTCAACTCCAAGTCTTCTCCAAGTAATTTAAAAAAAATAGTCGCGAGATTCGAAAAACTGCTGCGGCGAATGCTCTTCGATAATAATCGGAATGTTGTTTGTTTGCTTCTATTATGCGATGAAAGAAGATCAATCGGGAATCGTGTTATTTTTTTCAGGTGCAATACGTCTATGCTTATAGATTACTGTCCCGGCGGTGATGGGAAGCACAACTATATATTGATTGATGTTGGGAAGACGTTTAGGGAGCAAGTTCTCCGGTGGTTCACTTTCCATAAGATTCCGCGGGTGGATTCTGTGAGCATTCTTCTTTTCTTCTCGGTCCATCTATTTGCTTCTCTTTTTTGGCAGCTTAAGTCGTCCGGAGTTTGATATTCACATTGGTGATCTTGTGGTGGATCTTCGGGTTCTTTTCCTCCGTCGCTGTAAAATTTTCTTAATGAGGGACATTGAAGATTTCCAGACCTGAAAACTCTATCCGTGTTTTGAATTCTGTATTTGATGTCTTTAATTTATGTTGGTTTTCAGAGTGGTAGGACTAATTTGAATGTGAATTGCAGATAATTTTGACGCATGAACATGCTGATGCAGTTATCGGCCTTGATGATGTACGAACTGTGCAACCATTTAGTCCCACAAATGATATTGACCCAACTCCTATTTTTTTGACTCAATCTGCTATGGAAAGGTACCTCTTCTGTTCAATTGATAATGTGCATGCACTGTTTAAATGTGTTCTGGTATCTCAATGGTAGTTTACTCTTCCAGCTTCGCTCTGGGCTAGTTTTCTTGATGTGCATTTTCAGGGTTGTCAATAGAATGCTTTGATTTTTCCCTGTTCAGTGGTGATCATGTCCATGTGATTTTCCCAGCTGCATTTTGAATGATAATACCCTTTCTGAATGCCATGCCGAGATAATTTGTTCAATGGAATTTTCTTTGATACACATTGTAATTTCACTATAGATCTCTTCACAATTTGTTAAATACACATAAGCCTCATACATACTAAGTCCCCTCCTGATTTGGGCACCCTCTTGAACTGAATAGTGTCCCTGTGTTTTTATGTCTAAAACAGTATTGCAGTGAAATTCCCTTACCTGGTACAGAAAAAGTTAAAGGAAGGCCAAGAAATAAGACGGGTAGCACAGCTCGACTGGCAGATAATTGAGGAAGACTGTCAGAAATCATTTGTTGCTTCTGGCCTACAAGTTTCACCTTTACCAGTTATCTGTTCGAAACCTTTTCTAGTTGTCTGAATTAGCACTTTGATGCCATTTCCTGTCCTAGTTGCTTATGTCTGGTTTTTCAATGCAGGTAATGCATGGAGAAGATTATGTTTGCTTAGGCTTTCTGTTTGGTGAAAAATACAAAGTAGCTTACATCTCTGATGTTTCACGGTTTCCTGAGAAAACTGAATTTGGTAAGTGTCATTAAATGGATAAGGTCTGGTTCCTGTTCGATGGAGAAGATCTAGATTTCACTGTCTTCTGAGATTGCAGTGAATAGAAAGTAGTTGCATATCACTAATTCAGTAGCTCTTCATTTGCAGCAATTTCAAAATCTGGGGCTGGTCAGCTGGATCTCCTAATATTAGATGCTTTATACAAGGTTTGTTACCAAAACAATCCATCATTTGACATCATTATGAAGTGGTCAAAGTTAGAATGGAATATCACATATCCAATGCCTCCTAAAAAGGGTGCATATGAGAATTGTGGGCTTTGATTTTATTAACAGTGTTCCTATGCTCCCGTGGGCCACATTGAAGTACTCTACCGGATTTTATAATGTGTTCCTTTATCCTTTTAGGCCGATTATCAAGTTTGATTCTCTGTTTGCATTGACTAGACATGTTCAGGAATTGCATGTCCCTACGATAATGCTTTCCTTCTGTTGGTGGGTAGTTTCCACAAATTCTCATCACTGATATTCTTGTTCCTTTGCAGAAAGGACCTCACAACACTCACTTTTGTCTCCCTGAGGTTTGTATTTAGAGCCCTTAATTGATGGGTTTTGGTTTGGATTGCTTTCTTAATGTTGCACCACTCACTCACTCTTTTCTCACTGATGCAGTCACTTGAAGCAGTGAAGAGATTATGCCCTAAAAGAGCTCTGCTAATCGGAATGACCCATGAGCTTGATCATCACAAGGACGGCGAATATCTAGAAGAGTGGTCTAAACGGTATCTTTCACTGACAACCTTTTCTTCTTCTGCAACCTTGTTCATCCTTTTTCTCCCCTATAACACCACAAAATGAGTTGCTAACAAATAAAAACTTGTTTCTATGTTTGCGGCGCACAGGGAGGGAATACCAGTACAGTTTGCACACGATGGTTTAAGAGTTCCAGTAGAGTTATGACCATAGGTAACCAACCTCTACCCCCGGTGGCTTCTTTCTTTCCTTTCAAGAATTCAGCCCTTGTCCAGACGCATCCAAAACTGAAGCTGGATCGGTATCGTCTGGATTTTGTCTGCACAGATAGAGAGATACCTTTGTTAGATCTACTTGCATCCCATTTGTGATTGGGATGAATAAAGCAGAAGTGAAATGATCTTTTATAGAGCTTGAACCAAAGAGAACTTTCCGGGAAGAGGATTGATCTCAAGAGGTTCTTTTACTCGGGACATTCTTATCATATATAGTATTGTGAAGTGTTACCAAGACCAGCAGATTCTAGAGTGTTTCATTCTTGTTGTTACATTATTGAAAGACGTTGAGAAATGCAGTTCAGATTTATTTTTCTGTGAAAACCAAAGGTGCAATTCCCGAATGTAGGAATGATAGGGGAAGTTGCTGGTAGAAGGGGACATTAGTATGTAACCGAAAACAGAGAAATGAGGGAGTCGAGAAAGCAATCATTGACCTTTGTAGACGACAACTGTGCTATTATTTTATTTTATTTTATTGATTGCCAGAGAAGGAAAGTTCAGCCTTCGACACCATGCGCAAGGTAATATAATAGGTCAGCTTTCTGGGAGCGGATCCCCTCAGTAACCAATACCTCAGTAACCATCAATAACCCCTTCCCCTGGTCCCCACGTGTCAGCTTTTTCTTTTTATTTAAAAAAAATACGGAGGGGCACTAAGGTAAAATTGCACCCCTATTTAATGATGTCTCTGACGCGCTGACGCTGACCAGATCACATCAGCGCCTTCTCTCTCCTCAAACAACCTTTAATTTTCCTTCTCTTAATCTTTAACGGACGATTTCTCACTCGTTTTAAGTCGGAATTTAATTTTTTTTGCACAGTTAGATCAGATTAATTGTGCTCTTCAAAATGATATCCACTTTGATATTTTTCAGACATAAAAAAATTTGTCAGTTATTACCAGTCATTACCATATGGTAATGACTGGTATTGACCATACCATATGGTATGAAAAAATTTGGCACATCAATATATATTACGTTACCACCCAATACCATATGGTATAGTGTGGTAATATCAATATATATTTCGTTACCACCCAATACCATATGGTATAGTGTGGTAATATCAACATATGGTAAATCTAACTACCATACAATGCCAACATAGTAGAACATGGTTAATCGAATGAACACAAATTAATTGTAATTACCATACAATACCACATGGTATGAGAAGTTAAAACCATATAAAAATAATATAAATCTAATTACAACCCTTTTACGACCATAGTAAAACACGATATCCATAAAAATACATTTCGTTACCACACTTTACCATATGGTATACATTTTACCATATGGTATAGACACATTACCATATGGTATATACACTTTACCATATGGTATATACACTTTACCATATGGTATATACACATTACCATATGGTATAGACACATTATCATATGGTATATACAAATTACCATATGGTATAGTGTGGTATATACACATTACCATATGGTAATGTGTCAATACCATATGGTATCGACACATTACCATATGGTATAGTGTGGTAATCTCAATATATATTCTCAAAGAAGGGGAAACAGAAGGAGGAAGAGGAAAAAAAACTTGTCTTCTGTCTCCTGTCATTTACTCCTCCGCAATGAAGAACACCGAATGCAAAAAGAAAGAAAAAGAGGAAGAAGATCGGGATTAATTCACAAACAAATACTAAAACACAAAAGATGCAAACTCAACTCACCTAGATCTGTCCCCTCTTTGACAATATGGAGCATCATCGATTTTGAGGCCGATAAAAGAAAAAAACAGAAGGAAGGAGCAGCTTGAGAGTAGAAGGATTTGGAGCCTCACCGAATTTGAAGTGGGAGGCTGCAATTTATTCATCGATTGTTGGAGAAAAAAATGAAGAACAAGAGAAGAAATGAGATTTAGATCTGGAAAAAGAATTTTGGAAGAGATAAAGGAAGAAAGAGAAAAGAGAGAGGAAGAGAAAAGTCTGCTTTTTCTCTTTCCTCCATTAAAAGACAACACATATAAATGCTGGAAAAAATTAAAAAAAAGGAAAGAAATCAAATTTCAAAAATCGGACAAAAATGCTCCTCCTCACTCCACGTGCAGCCCAACAATATAATAATGCCATCCCTAGATCTACGGTCCGGATTTAATACTGATAGGTCAGTAACCAATGGTTACTGACCCTATCTGCTGCCCAGCTTTCTCCGGTACAAATTCAAACCTTGACTAATTTCTTTTATCACTTGTTAAGTAGCAAATTTCAAAATTGCAACTTTCTTTGTATGTAGCTAGGAGACCATCAAGAATCGAATCACAAAACCATATCGCCAATCAAGTTGGTATAAGTTATATTACATATATTATATAGAGCCTTTTTCCGACCAAATTATCGATGTCAAACTTTCTTCTAGCGATAACATCGGTCTAGTATGTTGATTTTGGTTGGTGTACATACCGATTAAACTAGAGTAATACCACTAAATACTATTCTACTAACGCCGTTACGAAAGGGAATGGATCAGGTCAGTAACCTTATGGTGAGTAACTATGAGTAACCCGCCCACATCAGCATGACATCAGCATCCTCTCTCTCCTGGAAAGCCTTTAATTTTCCCCCCCTTAATCTTTGACGGACGATTTCTCACTCGTTTTAAGTCGAAATTTAATTTTTTTTGCACAGTTAGATCAGATTAATTGTGCTCTTCAAAATGATATCCACTTTGATATATTTTTCGAACAAAAAAAAATTGAGTCATTTTATACCAGTCTATACCATATGGTATTGACTGGTATTGAAATAAGAGCATACCTATGGTTTGAAAAGCGTACCATGGTGGTATGGCACAAACCAAGACTGTAGGATGATTGAATACATGATAGTAGAAGTATATTAATTGTCATTTACGACTTTTAACATTGTATACCATAAAATACCACCCCGTACCATGGTGGTATTGTATGGTATTGTGTGGTATTTTTTGGTCTTGTAATTTGTTCACCCAGAAATTTGTAGATCAAATAGATCATGATGAACTCGTCCCTGCTGTGCAAACGTTTTCAAAAACGAATGAAAAACGAAGAAAATACCATATGGTATGCAGTTGGTACCGAAAGGCCAGAATTTTTTTTCCTCAAAAAATATTGAAAATTGATCTCATTTTGTAGAGCACGATGAACTCGTTCCATCTGTGCAAAAAAAATTAAAATCCGAGTTAAAACGAAAAAGATATGAGTCAATTAAGAAAACTAGTGAAAATAAAAATGGTCTTTAATTCTCCATCCTTAGATCTGGATTTTCTAAATAAAGGGTCCAGATTTGGTTATTGATGGGTGCATAACCATGGGTTATGCACCCTATCTTGAGCCGTTACGAAACCTAGCTCTTAGCAATTAGTTTATGGTTAGCACAAAACATCTAGAAACAAATCAAGAGAGTAGGACCCGATAGAGACAATAGTTTCTGGTCATCCGTACGTCGTCTTCCTTGAATGAAACCGGTGAGGGCCGTGCAATTAGACACCAAATCAGTCAGTCAAATTGGGCAGAGGAATGGCCCCTGTTTTTCAAAATCCTATCTTATAACCACATAGGAAACCCACGGCGCACGCCATGCATGGCATTAATCTCCCTCTCGAAATACTACCGTCCAAATTTCCTCCAGCACTTGGGAACCTCCCTCTCCCTCCTCACCATCCCATATAATACCAAAACATAACCCAATTCTGCAAAAGCAAGCTAGAGAGCAGCAATTCAAGAAGAAGAAGATTACAATCATGACGTGCTTCGTTCCATTGAACAACCAGACTCTTGACATAACCTTCATCGTGCTCAGACCCACGGTGGTGATCGTCGACGAAGCGGTGGAGCATCTCAAACACTTCTCCTCCGCCGCGCGGGATCTCGGCTGCGTCGCCAGTTCCATACTCAAGAGCATCCATGGCAACATGGTAATTAAATTCGAATTAACCCCTCAATTGTTCATAATTATTGCATCCTCTCTCAATTGATTTCAAAACTGCCCCCAAATTAGCTTTCATGGGTTTTTTTTCTCAATCATCACCTATCCTCCTTATGGTTGTTCAGATCTTATGGTACGGAGCCTGGACTAAAGAATCCGCCCAAAACAGAGACCTCCTCACCGCCGCCCTCGTGACCCTGCTGGCGGAGATTCTGCAGGGGAAGGCGGTCCTGATCGAGCGCGGCTTCTACGACGCCTACGCCGGGGAAACCAAAGACGGCTCGCCCGCCGCCAGATTCTCCACCGGCGACGCCGTATCCATGAGCGTGGTCATCCCCAGGCCCGGACGGCCGGCGGCGGCGGGGCAGAATTGCTACGAGGAGGTGTCGTACGCTAACCTGGCGCTGTTCAAATCCGGGTTTCGGAAGATGGAAGGTGCCGTTTCCGGCGTGTGCCTCGGCTGCCCGGCGCTGCCGCGGCTGGCGTGTTTCTATGTGTGGAAATCGTTGCGGCACTGCTACTCGTGGGTTCTCGACTCCGACTGCCGCTCCGCCGCCTTGCCGTACCTCGACCACCTAGATCTGGATATCAAGTACGATGTTTTCCGGGTGGCATACGTCCACGACGGTCGGGGTAGATTTCCGGCCGGTCTTGTGGTTCCCACTCGCCGCCCTGTTTTGGAGAATACAGCGCCAGGGAAAGAGGCTGCCGCCGCCGTGGGGCAGGTAGGGCGGCTAGAGGGCAAATCGGATAAGACAAACCAGATTATTAAATAACAATGTAAATTATACTTAAGGTGCATTTGATATGAATGATAAAGGATGTAAAAAGGGGTTGCAAAATTTCAATATGATGTTGGGCTTGGGCCTGATACATTTTTGTCATAAGATTTTTATTGTTGTTATCATCGTTACAGTTAGTGTTTAGTTCAATTATAATTAAGGATTTTGCTACGGTGACATGGACTTTTCGGTCGACCTAATCCTCAAGGCGGTCGGCCGAATTGACAAATTCAGTTATGTGAGGTTCAAAGAAGTGGTCGACTGTCTACATAAAATGGTCGACCTCTTTGGTGGTATTACAGAATGAAAGGTCGACCCAAATACCTCATAGGTCGACCCTTGTGCACCTATCAGGTCGGCCTCATTAGTAAGAGGTCGACCGCATGCACACCGTATCCGTGTATTGGATAAGGATTCCAACAACAGAAATGTTCCACAATTGGACAAGAAAACGAATTGGGTCGACCCATTCACGTCCTAAATCTCTATAAATACGAAAAAATGTGGATGAGGGAGAGAGGGGACATGAGTAGGAACTCGAAGATTTTAGATTGTGTGTTTTTATTGTTAAGTGGTCAAAACGATTGTTGATTGTTATTTTGTTGTTTTAGTTTTTTTTTTATGTGTGAACAATTATGATTCTGTTTTATTGTATTTCTTGTTAGTTTCTTTAGTTGTTATGCTATGAATTGATGAGTCATTGTTATCATTATTTATGACTATTTATGATGGTTTGAAACATAATTTATACGAGCAAAAGAACCACACAAATCGACATACATAAGCAAAAAAGACACGGGGCATAGATTGAATTTCTTGTACTCGGTCGACCTTGAAACCAACACTTGATCTTCATTTTACGTCAAATGATTGGACACATTGATAGAACACTTATCTTTTATCTGGTCGACCTCTTTCCTTATCTGGTCGACCATTTTGTTAATGACTGCCATCAAGTGGTCGACCTATATACCTTTACGGTTGACCATGTTGTTTCTAACGCCAACGAAATGGTCGACCGAGGTTTTATTCTGGTCGACCAAAAATAACAACTTAAACTAAGTGCGGTCGACCAGGTGGTCGTTGAGGCCGACCGCAATGCTTTCTCGTGCTGCCCAAATTAGTCAATTCGGCCGACCGCCTTCAGGATTAGGTCGACCGAAAAGTCCATGTCACAGTGACATGCATGTCATAGTAGGCATACCCTATAATTAATTACAATTACATATGGTTAACCATAATCGCAAATTATGATTTGTGATTAAACGATAATATACCGATTGGTATAAATTAATTTTATAAGTTTTGAGAAATTCATTTTGAAATGAAATCTTTTTATGTTTGGTTGTTAAAAGAATTCATTTTGAATTCTACGGAATATGAACTAGTTATAACAATTCCGAGGAATTGAGATGGAATTTCTAAATAAATTCTACAAGTATTTACTAATATAATATAATGACATAATTTTCCTCATTTAATAACTAAATTAGGTCAATATATATTATTTGGTGCCAATTCATGCAATATAAGGAACGTTGGCACGAACTGATTGCAGCACCAACAACACATGCTGATTATTTGACATTTATGCTTCTATTATATCAGTACATTGTGAAGCCACAACTAGAGTGTATGATTCATCGACGAAATATTAGAAAAGGACTAATCAATAGAATAGGAACACACAAGAACAATTTTCATATTCTACGTATGAGACCAAAGGCGTTTTTAGAAGATGGCTTTCAATGAATGGTGTTTATGCAAGAAATTAATAAGGGTGTAGTTGAGAATTTTTTAATTTAATCCAATTCTAAATGTATGTCAAATATGATTTGGGAATTCAATTCATTTTATTTTTAAATATTTGAATATGACATACCAAACACAGAAATTCATTTGACAATGAATTCTAAAAAAATTCATTTTAAAATGAAATGAATTCTTTATTTATTTATTACCAAACTATATGTAAAACAAACCTATCAAATACACATTCTTGAGAAACACAAAGTGAATTCATGAGAATCACCCACCAATCCACATCCTCGTAGTTCCAGAAGATCTTATGTTGTACCCTAGTACAGTAGTACTGCTTAACTTGATTTCAAATGGGCCTCAAAGATGTCAGGGCCTGATGTCCATTGCTGCATCCACAGCCCGGCTTACTAGTCCTTCCAAATAAATCCAAACTTACAAATGCTGATACCCCTTAACGGTATTGGTTAACACACCATATCTTTGATTAGGGGTGGAAATTGGGGGGGTGTGCTTACCCGCCCCACGTTTTGCGGATACCCATATTTATAAATTTACAATTATGTTACCCACAACTCGTACCGTAGTGGTTATTAGGTAACCACTACCCACTGTGGGTTTGTGCGGGTTGGGTGTGGTTACCCGCAAAAATCCATCTTTGCAAGTACAGAATTTTAGTCGGCACTAACGTATTTGTTGTTCGTAACTAGACTATAGTGATATACACTTGTGTTGTTCGTGGAGATACAATTTTGTACATCGATCTTACTCAACGTGGAGATTTTTCTTTTTTAGTTTGGTATTCAACTTTTGTGTAAGAGAGTTGTGATTTCATATTTCTCCGACTAGTTGTGAAATATGACAATTAAATATTATCTTGTATTTTTTTGGGCAATGTCTATTTTTTACCCAAACATTTTTCAGATTCTTTTATTTTAACCAAACCTATAGAAATTCTATTTATTATCCAAACGTATTATAATTTATCAAAGTCTGGGCATTCATTCTGTTACCGTTACTTATTTTGTCCACGTGAGAGGTGAGATTTTGTTTTGTTTTTTGATAATCTTTTTATTAAAAATAGTAAACAATGGTATTCTGACAGCCACGTAGGAAGTCAACTCATTATGGTCATACTTAGTCAGCATTACTAACAGAAAAGTTGACGGAGAATTAACGTTTGGATAATTTTTAGGAATTCAATAGGTTTGGTTAAAATAAAAGAACCTGAAAAAGGTTTGGATAAAAAATAGACATTGCCCTATTTTTTTCATACAAAAGCAAAAACATACTGATAAAAGTTGCAAAAGGTGTTCACTTTTAATGAATTGATTATTCTCCACTCTATCGATTATAGTGTTTTATAAACTAAAAAATTCTTACAGAAAACTGATTAGGTGTATCTTTTTTATTTGGTGGCTACTTTAATTTTTATCCTCGCACTTTTCACATACTATTATATTATAAAGTTAATTAACTAAATAAATATAATTATGTGGTTATTGTGGATTTTGTGGCTTAACCGCGGTGGATAGTGGATAACCACTAACCACAAAAATCGTTATTTTACTACCCACATCCAACCCACTACCCGCAACTTGTGGGTATGGTTACCCACATTAGGTGTGGGTTGGTGCAGTTTGCGGATTATCTACAACCTGCAACCCAAACTTCCACCCCTATGTATGACCATGTCCATCATATTCATATATTACAATTAGCTATAAATATTAGGCTAGTTTAGTTCTGCGATAGCTTTTGCAGAAGCAACTTCCGACTTGAGCTTTTATAAAAGTATTTTTTTTTTAAAAAATTGAGTGTTTGGCTGAAAAACTATTAGAATACAAAAAAAAATTACGAACTACAACTTTTAATATGTTGTGATTTACCGGTCGACTTCTCTCTCCTCATTCTCTCTCCTTTCTCGATCTCTGATTGAAACCCTTTTCGCGATGGCAGCCTCGCCGTCGGCCCCAGCACCGGCTGGCGAGGGTTCTTCCTCCTGGGCTCATCTATTCTCTGTGGCGCCGGAAAAGAGACTTGTATCATCCTCCAGAGAGAGTCAAGGATGGGTTTCGGATTCCGCAGACGGTTAAGGAGAAGGGCGCGGAGCGATGGAAACTGTCCCTCATCGGACAGTTCGTCGGGAAGTGTCCTAGGGTAGCTCTGAAAGTGTACGGTGAATCACATCTATTCTCATTGATCACTAGTGATATATATACAGAAGTGTTGAAACTGAGTTTGCTATTCCTACGTACACCAGCAACTACCTACTAGAAGTAAGGAACAGAAACAACAAAGTGGAAAGAGCTGTTGGGTTGTTCCGAGAATGGCTCTCCCTTATCACGCCCCGGCAAGTTGAACCTCAGAGAGGTGAAACTTGGAACATAAATTCTGAAAGGGTAGCCCGGAGAGAGGCTTTGTAAGAACATCAGCTAGTTGGTCTGTAGCAGGGAGATAGCGGACATGTAGTTGCTGTTTGTTTACTCGATCACGAACAAAATGGAATTCTATTTCCAGATGCTTGGACCGGGTGTGAAAAACTGGGTTGTGAGCGAGATACGTAGCTCCTAAGTTATCACACCATAGAACCGGAGATGTATGAGTAGGTTGCCCAAGCTCGGCTAGGAGAGATTGTAACCAGATAACTTCGGAGGCCAACGTCGCAAGAGCTCGGTATTCACACTCAGTAGACGACCGCGCTACTGCCTTTTGCTTGCGAGTTGACCATGAAACCAAATTCAAACCATAGAAAACAGCATATCCAGAGATTGACTTCCTATCACGAGGGGAAGATGCAAACGAGGCATCAGAATAGCCGTGCAGTTAAGGACGAGCAGAACGCTGAAAAACCAAACCTTGTGTCAGGGTCCCTTGTAAGTAGCGCATAATACGTTTGACTGCTGCCCAGTGCGCTTCAGTCGGAGATTGTTGAAACTGGGACACATGATTAACAGCAAAAGAAATATCAGGCCGGGTGAAGCTTAAGTATTGGAGACCGCCAACAATGCTCCTGTAGAGACCCGGATCAGCAAAAGCAGGTGATAGATCAGAGGCACTTTGCAAGAGTTGATCAGCTGTACAGGGGGTGGAAATGGCCTTGGCAGTGGACATTCCAGAATGCTTCAGCAGCTCAAGAATATATTTTCGTTGATTGAGAATCAGCCCATCTGCTGTATGGTATACTTCGAGACCAAGAAAATATGACAACTGCCCCAAATCACGCAAGGCAAACTTCGAACGGAGGAAAACCATGAGCTGCTTGATAAGATCCACATCTGTACCTGTAAGAACTAGATCCACCACATAGACCAACGTGTAAATGTGATCGGAACCCCTGTTGTAGATGAATAAGGATGGGTCTGTCTTTGATGCCGAGAAACCAAATTCACAAAGAGCTTTG